AAGACATCAACTTTAAGAGGGCCCAGAAAAAGATCTACTCAATGGATTTAATCAAGACCAGTTCCCTGCGTGCTCTGAGTGAGTGAACTTTCCAACGCAACTGGAACGGCCTCATTTGGATGAGTAGAAAAGCAGTTATAGCCAAAATAGCGAAGCCTGGTCCAGGCAGCTCTATCGAGAACTGCGGCCAAGCCGTGCAGAGCAGCCGGCCGAGAAATGAATGTTCCGCAGTCGGTCAAATTTCAATCACGTCCGTCTCGTACAAGCCACAGCCGAGCACACGCACCAACCTGGGAAGCAATGTCCCGCGGTTGGCCAAGTCACGATCATTCAAGTCTTTGCCGCGCATGACCACGCCGCGCGAGCCGGGAAGTAACGCCTCGCGGCCGTGCGACTCATCTCTGATATATCCATATCTTTCATGTTTTTACAAGGTTTTCACTATGTTTTCAATACAAATAATGTGGTTTTTAAGCCCAAGAGGTAGTTTTCTTGTATATTCTGGTTTTGAGCATCATTCAGGTCAAAATAGCAAAGAAGAGTCCAAAATGGAGCAAAAAGAGTCAAATCACCAAGTTCCCAAGTCTAGAGCACCAAAATCTACATTTCTCGCTAAAGACCAAACCGGAGCATCCGAAGTACGACCGCATATTCATGCCTTCCCGACGTCCAAAAGTCATGATTCTTATATGGAAAGATAGATATTTGAGTCGTGACCCGCGGCGAAGTGGAAAGAGGTCATTTGGATCACTCGTTGGACCGGAACTTATTTTCTACCAAGACATGTCCGACGAGCGCCTAAGTAGAGCCCATGGAGACTTTGATGGATCAAGAGGCCCGAGATACCGCGCCCAAGGCCTTGGCTCGTCTTGACACTAGCATAACTCAATCCAGAAGCTTCCATTGGCCTGAACGCGGCCCATTCAAGAACTTGGAGAGCAAGCTCAAGCGGCTAAAGAGAAATGGAAACTTTCCTCTTCTGCGCGCGCTCAACTTTGCCGACCTAGACCCGCTCTCTACCTATATATACTTGCTTTTAGCCTCTTGTAATAAGAATCACCAGCCGCATAACAAGAAACACTTATTCAATAAAGTTCGGAGCCACTTAGGTGGTCTCCTTCTTCTTTCTTTTCTTCTTTTGCATTTGTATATAGCTTGCATGTTTCAATTTATATAGTCTAGAAGTAGAGATTTCTCCCTAAGGGTGAGGCGTGGTTTAGTCATATTCCGCCGCCTCTCTCTCTAAGGATTCATGAGACTTCATCTACTATCTAAGACTCATTGTTGAATTATGGATCCTTCCAATGAGGACGTGATATAATGGCCATCGAAAATCGATTGTTAAAAGGGGAAACCCTATGGTTCTCCATCTTTATTTATGCTTAATGCCTGTTGCTAGAGTAGCTAACTAGTGACTTGATTTTAGGTTGATATACTCTCCAAAAGCTTGTTATATCTCCGGATATAGTATTTGATGGGCAAATCGTTTTAGGCTACGAAAGTAGACCTAAAGAGTTTTGTGAACAATCATTACTTGGATGTAATGCATGTCTCACTCTACAATGACCAACGAAAGCTGAGCCCATTGGTTTAAGAGACATAGGGGATTGGAACCACGAAAGTGGAATAATCCTTCCTTAGTGTTTTGAGTTCAAAAGAATCGGATTTTAACAAACTTTTCAATCGACTTGGCTCATGTTTTCAAAAGAGTTTTCAATAGTTCAATAATGTTGCTTGTATAGAATTGCATTGTTATTTTTTTTGCGTGTTCTCAACAAACACAAACCCTTGCATCTTTTGATTTAGCTTAGTCATTTAAACTCTATGATTATGTAATGTGTGAAATCCAATCCCTTGTGGTTCGACCCCTAAATACTACAATTATATGTTGTGCACTTGCAACACTAGTTGTCTTAGGGAATTATTACTTGTACTCATCCCATAGATGCCGCATCAAGTTTTTGGCGCCGTTGCCGGGGATTGCATCATAAACACTTGCATAGTCTTGTTTAAAACTAAGTCTAGATCTTGGTATTTTCGAATACTAACTTTTTCTTTTTAAATCTTGTGTTTATAGGTACTTGGAGATGAATCACAACACCAACATCCACTTTGGGAACCGGACACTGATCCCACACGATCTCCACGGCCGGAGTTACCAAGACCCAGCCGTAAGCATCGTGCCACATCCGTTCCCTCCCAACCGCGCTCATCCGACGTTTGAAGGACCTAGCCGAGACGAGCATCATTACCATCATCATCAAAACCGACCTCCGGTTTATCATCAACCACCTAGACCAGTGTTGCATTCACACCACGACCATGTTCTCAATAGGCGGAGAGATAGCCATTTCGATGCCGTGCTTGAGGGTTTCATGGAGAGCCAAAGAAAAACTAGCCGCGACATTGAAACAAAGCTAGAGTTCACGCGATACGAACTAGATGGAAGACTTGGAGAACTCTCTACCCAAATAGAGAGAGTAGAGTCAAGATGCTTGGACATGGAGGAAGATTTGAAGAAGCAAGGCGAGGCCATTGAAGACAATAGGAGAGCGATACACTTTACCAAAGTTTCTACCAAGGAGATGGACAATCACTTAGATGAGAAGATCACAAGTCTTGATAACAACCTCGATGGCACCACCAAGAGTCTCAATTCAATAACAGCAGTAGCTCATCAAGCTAAGAGGGAGGTAGCCGAAGTAACCCTAAAGGAGAGGCAATGTTACTCGACGATGCTTACATTGGTGGAAGGGCAAAAACAAGTGAAGGCACAAATCCGAGATTTACACATCTCTCTAGACAAGAGGAGCCAAGATATTCAAAGAAGAGCTAGAGGGCTTGAAGACAAAGTAGATGGAGTCTCCAAGGAAGTCAAGGATTTAACCACTCGCTTAGCCAACTTGGAAGAGAAGGTCTTGACCGAGGCAAAGACGACCGGTTCTAAGCACAACCATGCCGCGCCCGTCTTTACTATAAGAGAGACCGACCCAAGAGTGATTTGGGATGAAGAAGAAAGTAGAGCTGATCAAGAAAGAGCCACAAGGCTAACCACTGGAACAAGAGAGAAGATAGCACCAAAAGGAAGAACCCTTACTCAAAGGTCTTCACAACCGCCTCCCACCAAGGAGAAGAGGAAGACAAGATCATCACTTGAAGAGATCATAGATGATTTCAACTTTATGGCGAGGAGATTCCCTTATGGTGTGCCGTTTGATAATGCTTGCAACAAGAGTCCATTCATGCAAGACCTAGCTTGGACACAAGATTGGAGTCTAGCTGAATTGGAAAAGATGTACGAGGAAGCAAGAAAGGGGATGCCTAAACCTAGGTTTCTACACAAGCTTCATGACCCAGGTTACTTCCTTATACATTTCTCTATCAATGGAAGCTACTTTGATGATGCTCTTTGCGATTCCGGTTCTAGTGTGAACCTTATGCCGGCCGAGATAGCCAAGAAGTTGGGATTGATCAATTCAATTGTGAAATCTCGAATGGATTTAAAGCTAGCTGATTCATCATTGACCGAACCACTTGGAGAGGTTAAAGACATTCAGCTTGATTTTGGAGGCTGCATAGTTCCAGCCAACTTCTATGTAGTAACCATGAAGGATCCGGAGGACTTAAAGCTTTTGCTTGGAAGATCATTCCTAGCCACAGCTGGAGCGATCATGGATTGGCCTAATAGAAGAATCTCTCTAGCCAATGTTGACAAGGACACCTTCTACGATGCTGCACCTCCCGGTTTCTCATCCAAGCGATTTCGCTACACAAGTGGAGGAGAGTGCTCACAAGTAAGAGGAGAGTCGCATGGCTACTTGATCAAGGAAGTTCTACAGGACAAGATGCACTTGGAATCATCAGGCAACAGGAAGTTCTTGGAGCCTGATGGCGGGTTTAGATTGCCTCAAATTTTCACAATTTATAAACCCAACTAATGAGCTGCAAGTGCACAGCCGTGTTGTAGTCGGGGTCGAACACGAGGAGGAAGTGTTCTCACTTAACACCTTGTGAGATTGGTTTGTAGCTAGCTCGCAATATGAGATGGTTTTGGACCTAGAATGAGAAAACAAACAAAAGAAATGTGAGTGAGTTGTAAACAATTTAAAACAAGAGTTAGGCAAAGGACAATCATATGGAGCAATGATGAAAAGATAGTTGCATGGGATGTGTGTAGAGCCGTCTTGAACATGAATCACTAGTGTATGTCTTTCCACTGTCGTGGCTCCAACCACTATGTTTAAAAAACCTAATATACTCAGCTTTCGTTGGCTATTAGAATTGCAAACATGCATTAAAGGTGATCAAGATTCAATTGTTCACAATAAACCATAACTCAGCTTTCGTTGGCTATGATCTATTGCTCACCAAATACTAGTTTTGAGATCTAGATTCAGCACTGTCGTGGTTCTATTTCTCTAAGATCAGATTACTAGATGTACGGTAGAGTAATCATGCATTAAGCTCAAGTAAAGGTGAAGATCCATAAGATAAATCCCAATAAGTTGCAACACAATCAAATCATCACGGCCACCATAGATCTCCTCGGCCTAACTAAGAGATCTACTCGGCCATGATGCAAACAAGCAAAAAGCATGATTGTAAACATTATGCAAGTATTAAAAGAGATAAAGGGATGAAGAAAGCTTCTCTATTGATGAACAAAGTCGGATTCTCCCTTGAAAACTCTTAAAATCAAGTTTATAGAAATGGAAACAATGAAAGAAAGAACAAGAGTTGAGCGGCGCCTCCTTCTTCTTGGACGATCTCCTAGGGCTTCTCTCCTCTGAACTCTCTTCTCACACGTACACTCTTTGATAATTTTCGACTCTCTTCTCTTCAGCGGCTAAAAACATGTATATATGGGCGAAGTCGCGTAGGGTTTTCTTCATGCCGGAAAAGGAAAGTTTCCCGTGAGCAAAGCCTTCTTCTCCACGTCGTGTATGGGCCGACATTGTACCAAGGAAAGCTCCAAACATTAGCCAGGCCTCTTCTCTATTCGATCAAGGCCTTTGGCGCTGCTGCTCGGGCCATTAGACACTCCAAATCCTCCATGGGCTTCGTTTGCTCGCTTACCGGACATGTCTCGGTAGAAAATAAGTCTAGGCCTCATAGTTGATCCAAATGGCTTCATTCCACTTCGACGTGATGCATGACTCAAGTATCTATCTTTCCATATCAAGATCGTAACTTTTGGACGTCGGGAACTCCTCCGCGCGCGGCCAAACTTCCGAAGCTTCGTTCTGCGCGCAGCGAGAACTAACACTTGGAGATAAAATGATCTTCTTGACTTGGAAACTTGCATGGATCTTGATTTAGGGCTCTTTTACTCCTTTTTGCATCCTTTTTGATTATTTCACCTACAAAGACTTCAAATCCCACAAATACAAGAAAACTACCTCTAAAGGCAAAGAATCTTGCAAAAACCGTTTGAAAACATAGTAAATTATATAGTAAAATCATGTAAAATATGGTGATATCAACTCCCCCAGACTTAGCCTTTTGCTTGTCCCCAAGCAAACTAAGCAGGAAAAGAGGTTTGAAAACGTGAGAACTCTCAAATCTTTTGGAAATCCAAATTGACTTATGCTTTAGTAATCCACATGAAACAGCATTGGCAAGTTTTGAATTAAGAACAAAGTACATACCATGAGTTTTGCGATTTTCCCAAAGCGGTCCACCTCTCCTTGGACAATCCAATTCGCCACCCTTGACTCCTTTCATTTCTAAAGGTGTGGTCTCAACTAGGGAGTATCGATCAGCCGGCTTTAGACTCTTACTCATCCCCTTGTTTGGCACTTGTCTTTTTCTCCATGTTTCTCCTCTCTCTCTTCTCACTTCTTTGAGTTGATTCATCCCTTTTTTAGGGTAGCGAAGTATTTTTTATTCAACTCCTTCTCTTTATTATAGAGGTTTTGCTTGGATCTTCCACAGACGCGAGTATTGATGGTGTTTGCCACCGAATCCCCGGTTGCTTGGATTCATAGGCCTTCCATAGACGCGAGTATTGATGGTGTTTGCCACCGAATCCCCGGTTACTTGGACCTTACGCTTTTTCTTTAAATTTGAAGGGGAGAGAGAGGGAAGCACGAACTCACTAAGACTTTTTCATTTGATGGAGAGGATGAGGAATCATGCCATTTGTATGCCAAGCCCCTAGCTGAGAAGATTAAGTTCATTAAGGGCGGAGTCAAAGATGGATCCTTCTCAAGTCTTTAGAGATGTAGGCGTTTTTGGTAGATCGATCAACTCATAGTGCACCTGTGGTAAGATGTATTGCCAAGAACTGCTCAATGGTCACTTAAACATTAGTACAACCATGGTTAGATCCAAGATAAGGTCATGATTCTCGACAAAAATTTTGACTCAATAAAAACGACTCGATAAAAAGGGAAAAATGCAAATGAAAATGCCAAAATGAACAAACATTGTTAGTAATCCCCCCAGACTTAACTTGCACCGTCCCGGTGAAATTAAATCGGATTAAGAGAGGCATAACATGAAGTTCAAATGAAAAATTGAAAAGAAAAAGGTTTAGGATGATGTTACCAAATGTCGACCAATTTATAATGAAGATCAGTTCTGGTTTGGGTCATTCTACACTTCTTTAGGCAATATTGGTCGGTGAGTTTTTAATTTCAGGCCTTGGTTTCCGCCGGTTTGTGTTTTGGCCGAGATTGGTATATTCGGTCGGCCAAAATGTGGTGCTGTGAACTACAGAACAAACCGTCAAAATTTCATGACCTATATTGAAATTTCATCGACCAACCTGGTATTTTATAGCCTCTGGTGAAGTTTGGGAGCATTGTACGAGCGGATTGAGACTTCCTTCACAAAATGGTCAAGTCGGCTCCGGGAAGGAGTTTCCTTGGCCATGTGAAGTTTGGCTCGTTCCTTTTCGTTTCTTCCTGCATAAAAGTGTTAGTTAAGCTCAAAGAAGAGTTTTCCAACCGGTTGGCGCGCCTATGCCGTGATTTGGTTTTGTCGGCCATATTGCTTGCGCGCCATCGGCCAGAATGAGCTCCGTCGTCTATCTCATGATCCGTGATGATTTCTCCGTCCTATCTTTTGGATTTGCCGACCAAAATGTGATTTATGGTCGCCTGTGAAGTTTGGTGGACTTTGGTCACGCCGTTTAGGAGTTGGCCGTAGTTGGTCTCCTTGTGCGCGTATGGCCGAGAGAAATGTGCCGGATTGAATTTCTTCAAATCCACTCGGGCCAATTGAGATTTTCTTCGACCGAATTGTTTTAATAACCCTCCTGTGTCATTCCCAAGTGGTGGCCGCCTTGTTTCGTGTGATGGCCTATGTATCTCCTTTTAACCTCCCTTTGGCCGCCATATGCATGTTGGTTTTAGGTGGTTGATAGGTTTGCTTTATTTCTCCTTCCTGTCAAATGGTAACTCCTTGCAAAACACTTGAAATCATGATTAGATGGTTTCTCAGATTGTGATCCTCAAGTGACCAACTTGAAGTTCACAATCCAAGAGATTAAAGCACAAACTATAAATTCTTATTTGGTCTTGGTTAATGATCCAAATTTCAAACTATAGTTCAATCTCTTGTAATTTCAGTGAGCAAAATGAGTTTTGACAAGTGATTATGTATTCTTTCCAATCATCAAAAGTAAATCAAGTTAAACCATGAAATATATTTGATAAAGTGCAATGGTTTAAACGATTTTTCAAGTGAAGATCAAGAGTGATTAGAAATGAATACTAGGTGAGAGTTTACTTACCTTTTGGAAGAGAAACGCCTTGTACAAGGGTGGGCTCATTGGGTGGGACACTTCCATTGTTTGGTCTCCTTTGGGTCTTCATCCTAAGAAAATATTTTTGTATTTTTGTTTGATTTTTGAAAAACTCCTGCAAAATAGAAATAGATAGTTAAAAACCATATGGGTTGCCTCCCATAAAGCGCTTTTGTTTTAAGTCATTTAGCTTGACTCCTTCTCTTTCTTTCAATCGTGGTGAAGAGTGGCTGAAGGGCAAAGGATCCCTTTAGCTTCTCCATTCTCCGGTTCAGTGGCTTCTTGTGGTGGTGTTGCGCGCCATAGTCATCTCTCACATCATCTTTGAAAACCAATGCCTTGGGGAAAAGCTTCATAGTTCTCTCAAGCTTCTCTTCAATGGATTGGTCACCTTTAAGCTCCGAATCTTTTGGTGTAAAGATTCTTATCTTGTGAAAGAGATTAGGTGCACCATTAGTCTCCTCTTCAGCTCCATATTCATCAAAGGTTGGAAGTGAGATGGAGTTGATTCCTTAAAGACATTTTCATGCCTCGGCTCCAATGTTTTCTTCTTCTCCTTTGGTTTTGGGTAGCGCTCACTCTCTCTTCTTTCTCCATGCAGCATAGCTTCTTTCTTGGTAATGAGAGTGGCTTCTTCTGGTGGTAGCTTGGTCGCACTTGGCACTGACCTGAAATTTACACTTGGGAAAAAGATATCTTGCCGGATGTGGCCAAAAGATAGATGATTCCCAAAGTAGTTTAGGACCGCTCCAGCTGTAGCAAGGAATGGGGTTCCAAGAATCAGTTGATTCCTCTTTGAGCCTTCCCAAATCATGACTTGAAAGTCAGTTGGGACCGATCGACCCCCTATTTCCATCATGACATCTTCAAGCATTCCATAGGTTCCATGCACGATAGATCCGCGAACTCGACTCTTATCTTGGGGCTCTTGAATTCCTTGAATCCCAAATCTTTTGCAAGTGCAAGAGACATTAGATTAACATTAGCACCAGTATCACATAGGCAATCGTGGAGTTGAATGCCATTGATACTTGAAGTTATCACAAACTTCCCCGGATCTTCTTGTTTTTGTAGTGGCTTGCCTTCAAGTCTTCTCTTGTAAGCTCTTCTTGATTCCCAACTGTATCTCTCCGGTTTGTGCCTCTCCTTAGGCTCATTTTCTTCTTCTTCCCCTTGAGATAGTGTAGGAACAATAGTGCCATCTATAGATGAGACAACACTACAAAATTTTTGAGTGTTTACCTCATTTTGTTTCTTGGCCGCCTCGGCTGTTTGAGCGATTTGCACCTCAAGCTTTTGAACGTGAGTAGAGAGAGACCCAAACTTGCTGCTTAGATCACCAAACATGTGATCAAGCTTCTCATATAGGTTCTTGGTGATCAATCTCTGCTCCTCCATGTATTTCTTCAACGCCACGTCAACTTCTCTCCGGTTTGGGTTGGATTTGTTTCTTGAGAAAAAGTGAATGGTTGCTTCACTTGGTACATCCCTCTTGGATAGACTTGTTGTGGCTTGGATTGGTATTGGCCTCCTTGATACGCTCCTTGATTGGGGTAGACTTGGTCATTTGGATTCTCCACATTGTTGCTCCGGTATGATAGGTTTGGATGCGCGCGAAATGGTGGATTGAATCCTCTATTCCCATAGTTTCCTCCAATGTAGTTGACTTCCTCTAGATTCTCTTCAGCGCCATCTCTCATGAAATCCATAAGAGTGTCTTCATTTGTGGCTAGGGCATCTTCAATGGCGTGAACTCCTTGTCGGCTTTTAAGTAGTTGTGAAACCATGTTCCTTAGCTCCGAGATTTGAGCTGATTCTGATGAGCTCGTGGTCTTCACGCTTCTATTGTAGTCAGGGCACGCATTGGCATCACTAGCAGCGAGATTCTCAATCAAAAGCTTTGCCTCCGGCACCGACTTGGTCATGAAATTACCATTGCTCGCGGTATCGAGAGAAAGCTTGTATTTATGATCAATCCCATTGTAAAAGATGTTCCAAAGGTTACCTTCTGAAAAGCCATGGTTAGGGCAGCTTCTTGTGTACTCTTTGAATCTCTCCAAAGCTTCATAGAATGACTCCATTGAATCTTGCTTGAAACCAGAAATCTTGCTCCTTATAGAGTTGGATCTTTGCTTAGTGTAGAATTGGTTCAAGAAAGCTCCCTTGTATTCATTCCATGTTGTAATGGACTGAGTGGTAAAGACTTTACCCATTGATGTACTTGCATTTTACATAGTTTTAGCACATCTTTTATGCATCTTTTGCATAGTTTTAGCTTCCATTTGCATCATATCTTGTTCCTTTTCTCTTCTTATGCATTCATGTTAGTTTTAGGTTGCATTTGCATACATATGCATGTTTGGTCCTTTGAAATAGGTCTTTTGGAGCATTCTGGAGCATATGGGACATAAGGAGCATGGAGGGACTTGGCACATGGAAGCAGCTCAACTGGATACGCAAAGGAAGAAGGGAGAAGCCATCTTGAAGACCAGCTCGACCGTCCACTCGACCAACCGGTCGAGTTCCTCAACTCGACCGGCCAAGCTTCAACTCGATCGAGCTGGAAGTCAAAGTCAAACCCGAAAAATGTTGCTTCCCCCTTGACTTCCTTTGACCCTAAACCTAATCCTCTTTGTATTTAAAGGCTCTAAGCCACGAAAAAACCACCAAGCTTTAGATTACTTTTGTTTTAGTTTCTTTTAATTTATTGTCTTTTACTTTTTAGAGATCTAATCCCATCTTTGTGTTCTTGAAGCTCTTGCTTCTTGAATCTTAGATCCTGGATAATCTCTCTTGTATTTGCACTTGCTTATTTCAATAAAAGTTGTTTATTTCATCTCCTCTTTCTTATGATGTCTCTTTTATTGCATTTGCTTGTGTTTACATTCATGTGTAGTGAGTAGTTACCCATTGGGGTTTGAGATGGGATAGATTAGAGGTTTCATATGCTTAATCCTTCTAGCTTATGGTCTTAATCTAGATTCTCTCTCTTTTGGATAGATCTTAAGGCTACATGACCACTACCCCTGGCTTGTAAGTCCTTAGGCGACTCCCCACACGAAAGTGATGGCATTCGCTGGAAAAGATCCACTAAGAGCTCCAATATCTCTTGCTCTAGACAATAGAGGTCTAAGGGGTTGGATGGATTAGTTTGGGCAATGATCCTATAGCCTCCAAGGTTTGATTCTCACTGGCTAACCCCCTGTTTCTGAGATCATTCCTTGGTTGATAGCCTCCACCTTGGGAAAGGGTTGGCTAGGCATTGAGAAGCCCAATATCAAGAGAAGCCTTGATACAAGGAGTTTTAAGAGCTAGATTGATTAAGTGTAGATTCCTTTGATTGCAAAACCCTGTCTTGAACCCTAATTCTCTCTTTATCTTGTTAAAGTCGTCACCTTTAGCTTTGTTTGTCTCAACTCGTCCCTAAACTCGATCGAGCTGGTACTTTGCTCTACTCGACTCGAGCTCTTGGTCGAGCTGACACTTCACTGCTTTGTTTACTTTTATTGCACTGCTTTTCATTTTTTTAGGTTGTTAGTGTTACTTCAAATCTATAACTGCTTGCTTGACTTTCAGGTTGTTTCATATTCTCAAAGAGTGACAAGTTCCCATTTTGGATTGATAACCTCTTATACTTCAATGACTATGATGGTTAAGAGGAATTGATTGATTGTGATTGCACCATACCATATCATCTTTATTCACCCCTGTTTGCATTCCACCTCATTTCATCTCATATCATATCACATCCGCATAAAATCCTATCATCACCCATCTAAGCGCCTTGTCACTTAGAGAAAAAGTGAATAGCTTGCACTTGAAGTAATCCGGCGATACTCCATTAACACGAGTTGTGCTACATATCTCCTCAAAGGTGTCGACGTGATCAAGAGGATGCTCAGTGGGAAACCATGGAATTGGTTTTGCTTCACCAAGGCAATGATCTGTGGTTTGATCTCAAAATCGTTCCTTGGAGGTAGAGGCGGTCGGATTGGATTCCGATCCATAAAGAAAGCATCGGACGAATCAAAGTCTCCCATAGTTTGGTGCCTTGGATGCTGCGCGTTTGGCACTCTCCTTGGAGGTGCGTGAGGTTGGTCTTAAGGCATCCCTTGGTTGTCACCGTGACGATGATGTCCATTTGCAAACGCCGGTGGTGGTCGCGGCGGGTTAAGAGGTGGCTGTAGCGGCTCAGCTGCATCGGGCGCGTTCGGATTGGGCGGAGGAACGTCTCTGGCCGGTGCTGGCTGGTCAGCTCTAGCTTCTGCTGGATTAGGAGGATCATTGGCTCTCCTCTCTTGGTCTGGCGGGTTGTGTGGCCTATTTGGCGCGCCTTCTCCGCCTGGATTCATTCTTTCTCTTCTTAGCCGCCTAAGTGTGCGCTCAAGTTGGTCAATGTCAAGATCTTCTTCAATGGTTGTATTTGGATTGGACCTTCTTGTCATGCACCTTAGAAACACACAAAGAGAGAGTTAAGTAAAATTTTTATGAGTTTTTAAGATTTTATGAAAAACAAAAACAAAGAAAAGTGAAAGATGAGATGAGCTAGTCTTGAAACAAATCAAGAGGTGTGAAGGAAAAGCAACTCCTCCCCGGCAACGGCGCCAGAAAGCTTGATGGCGGGTTTAGATTGCCTCAAATTTTCACAATTTATAAACCCAACAAATGAGCTGCAAGTGCACAGTTGTGTTGTAGTCGGGGTCGAACACGAGGAGGAAGTGTTCTCACTTAACACCTTTGGAGATTGGTCTTAAGCTAGCTCGCAATATTGGATGGTTTTGAACCTAAGATGAGAAAACAAAGCAAAAGAATATGTGAGTGAAGTTGTAAACAATTTAAAACAAGAGTTAGGCAAAGGACAATCATATGGAGCAATGATGAAAAGATAGTTGCATAGGATGTGTGTAGAGCCGTCTCGAACATGAATCACTAGTGTATGGTCTTTCCACTGTCGTGGCTCCAACCACTATGTTT